CGCCACGAAAAGCGTAAACATCCGAAGTATATACGCTTCGGAGAGAGATGGCATGCTAGGAAAAAAAAAAGACTATATAATAAACCGGCGAAAGCAGAGCGAGATCTTTTTCTTTTAGTCAGTTAGGAGTGAGCGCTCAAAGAAGCCCGCATTTTCCTACTAAAGAGTTTTGAGAATATAATTGTTCAAGTTGCGATTAAGTGTCGAATTCAATTGTTTTAATAATTTCGTGTAAACGAAATCATAGGAATTATCATTTTGTTGCGTATTGGTACACTATTGGATAAAAATACATAAGACCACGAAAATCATAGGAATTGTTATTTTGTTGCGTGTTGGTACACTATTGGATAAAAATATATTGGACCAGTTGATCTGATCAGATACAAAGAAAAAGTGATTGGCCACATCACGAAGCGAATAATATTTTGGACCGATTAATATTTACAATATCAATACAAAGTGAGTAATACTTTTTATGTAACCTAAAGAAATAATAGACAGCGCGAGGCGAAAATTACGCGTCTGCGAATTTATATGTATACCACTCTATTTTGTTTAACTTACTTATGTTGCGAAAGAGATTAGAATAAATATTATAAATATAAACACCTTTAAGTTCATTCATATGCTTCCCGGTTATATTAAAATCGCTATTACATTTTCTTCTCTTAATAAACATGTGAAGAACGTTATAAAACGTTCAATTATTTATCTTACGAACGCGATACCGAGTGTCGGATCATAATTAACAGGGATTCCATTATTGACGCGCGAACGGGCCGGGGTGCCCGAAAGTCTGACTACCGCCCGAGTCTAAGGCCGCTCGGCTGTTAAAAAAGCCTTCCTACGGGACAAACTCGCCTTGCGCGAGTTGTCACCTATCACAAGTTCATATAAATTCATATTTTCTGAACTGTAAACCTGCATGTGATATTATTTGCAGTAATGTAGGAAACAAGCCATGGAAAATTTCTTTGGGAAATTCTATTTTGTAGATAATCTTGTAAAACAACTTTTCATTATATAAATGAATAGAAGGCAACACAAAAAAGCATAGTCATACTGACGTACCTGATTCTAAAGTTCCTTTGTATGCTTGACTTTGTGCAGATTATGCGATCAATCTTGTCCTTGTTATATCGAATAGTAGAAAAATAACTTGCCAAGCTATCAACTGAAAAATGAGTAGTTTTACGTTTCTCCTTAATGTATTCAAATGTTTCCAAATATTGATTAATGATAATATAATCATAAAACTGAAATGAGAAAAGTTTTTTTTTTAATATACAATTAGCTCAGCATTATTAGTCAATTATCTTTATAGTTGCTTGCATATGCAGATAACGGTTTTTTACTAATGATACAGGCATAATTTAATAAGTAACGAGTAGCTACAATATCTGTAGTACGTAATATGACATCATACTTGCTATTTCCTCTAATAAAAATTTTTCAATCATACTGTATAAGTTATGTACCTATTATTATTTGAAATGCCCAACGTGACTCAGAAAGCCGAACGCATTATGAAAATATAAACAAACATTGGAACAAAGACGAGAAATACAATGGCTGGCTGCCGACCATGAATCTTCGGTATAGTTGTATAAATAATATAAATGAGATATGACTTCATGAAAATAAAATTTTTTGTAGCCTCATCAGATTCTCATCACTGGTGTATAAGATCACCAAAGTAAAGCCAGTTGCAACACGATTTGGTGCCAAAATTATTGTTGAGATTGACGACGAATTTCAACTGTTTCTGTCATTTAAGCTGTAGAGTACAATTATACAAACTCAAAAAGTAATGGACGATTTGATGGAAAACGCCAATAAACATAATTTATTTATAAATTATCAAGGAGAAAACTGTATTGTAACGGTCCTATCTATGAACTCTTAGACTATTCTCTTATTTTCACTGTATAACTGCAATCCGCTAAACACATGAATCTACATAAATCAATTAGTACATTAAACAGCGCCACCTCACATATATGATTGTATTAGTGCTAGAGTCAAATTTCATGACCATATAAGGAGCATGACGTCACTCTACTTATTGATATAAATATGATAGATTTATTGTTCAATTAAAATTATTAAGAGTAATTTCAATGAAACAAAGTATTTTTTATATAGATTTTAGGGCATACATTAAGATTATAATATTTTCAAGTACTTTTAACTATTGAATAGTATTGAACTTTAATATGCGAGATTAATCTGTTTACAACTTGTAAATGTTAATTATTGTAATAAAGCCTATACTTTAAACTAAAGATGACTATCTTACGAGGGTGGTCCGATAAGTACTTAGCCTACGAAAGAAAAGCGAAAATTTTGGTAAAGTGGCGTTTTATTTTTCAACATAGTTGTTACGGATCGAAAAAAAAGGCCGTGATTTGTAACGCAACGCGCCGGAGAAAACCCGAAATTTCCTCTTCGGTCAGAGGCCGTAATCAGTGGGGTATATGCGAGGCGCTGGCGACTCAATGCGTCGAGGCATGTACAGCGTGCGTTGCGAAAAAAGGAGTCAAGTCTTTGCGTGCGATGGTAGGAAAGTGTGTCGTCGCGACCATCCGCCTCCGCCGTGGGTACATGTGTCGGAAATTAACTGAAACGGCCACCCTCTATGGCTTCGCTTGTTTGACGAGCATGGCTGCTATTGGGCAGATCCATGGCCGTACGCTACAGCTCGGGAAGGAGATACGGGCCGTGCCCTTTCCCGAGGCTGCCATGACCTGCTGCAAATAATTTTCTTTGATCTTACGGCCCGGCAATAACGCAAGGGTTATTTCCGGGGCCGCCCGGCGAACCACGAGCGAAGCGGAGGGAAGTGCGACACTGGCCCCCTTCGGACCTCATTTAGCTACGCCAATGCGGAAAATAACAAGGAGAGGGAAAGCCGAGTGAATGAAGCGGGAGGAAAAAAAAAGCGACGACACTCTATCCTGACCTCTCGAGCAGTGCAGTCTTGTTCACGCGTGCGATTAATTCAAAAACCTTATAGCTGATCTTGTGAAATAAAATTAACAAAAAAAACAATAAAATAGTTGCTTATTCTTGCTCTCCTGTCCCTAACATTGGTACCCCTGGTGGGACACAAGAACATTGAGCAAGAATAATAATTCGGCAGGCGAAGAACATAGAAGTGCCGTGAATTGTTGTGCCGGATATTCATCAACATCGCAGAAGAAAAAATTACATCGTAGAAAATCATCCGGACAATGGCGCCACGAGCTACAAGGAAACACAAGAACAGCGCGCCTCCAGCACCAACAACTGCAAACAAAAGAGCACGCCGTCAGGAAGCCGACCAGCCGGCGGCCAGAAAAGCAACTGCGTCACGCGCCCGGACTACAAGAGCCAAAAAAACGATCGACCAGGAGCAGCAGACGGACGAACCCCAACAAGAAATGACGGTATCTCGAGCCACCCTACCGCGACAAGCATCAACGCCAGTTCCCGATGAGCAGCAGCAGCGGACATCATCACCGCCGATATACCCGTACGAGCCAGATATCATCGTGCAGCAGGCACAGTTGCAGACAACGAGCTCGAACGCATCAACCGTCGAAGGTGAAGACTACGCCCGAGCGCCGAGTCGCAACGATCAAGCCCCAGGTATAAGAGTGAGCGGCCGATATAACGGCAACGCGAACGATGCGACTGCGTCATTTATCGAAACCGTCAATGGACTTTTGCGCACGATTCGAGACGCAACCGTAAGCGAAAACGGACCGCGAGCGGGGCAGCTGAACTATTTAAAAGATTTGCCCGAATTTCGAGGAAATCCGCTTAAGTGGACGCACTTTGAAGCGATGTATCGCGAGTCGACACGAAACTACGGATACTCTAACCGGGAAAACATCGCGCGTCTTCAAAAAGCCATCCACGGAAAGGCAGCCGAACGAGTTGGGACGCTGTTAGATACCGCGACCGACCCAGAAAAAGTGATGGAATCACTCGAAATGCAGTTCGGAAATAGCGCCGCGATCGCGAACACGATATCCGAGGATATATATCGATTACGTTCCTTAAAAGAAGGAAAATGTAATATTGTAGAGTTCGCAAACGGTATCAACAACGCAGTGTCGGCGTTCAAATCGGTGAACCTAGAAAATCATTTAAGCAATATAAATCTCATGCGCCATGCGATGAATAAATTACCAAGCGGCTTGACGACTGCCTTCTACGATTACGCGGCGTGCGTTACAAACGAGATAACGGGCTTAGAAAAATTGGCCGACTTCTTGCAGCAGAAAGCTAGGAACGCAGTTAAGTCCGGACTGCTGGAAGCATCGACACTTCTGACGCATAGAGACGACGATAGGGCTAGAAAGCCTCGGGATGTACCGCGTCGAGAGCGAAACAACGAAGGGAGACCTGGGCGAAGCGCGCATATTTGCACGATGGTAGATCGAGAGCGCTCGACGAGCCGCGAGAGAGGAGTCAACCGATCAGGCTGCGTTTTTTGTCTCCGTGAAGGACACGTGTTAGCCGACTGCCACAAATTCACTCGAGAATCTGTGCAGCGTAGGCATGCGCTCGTCAAGCAACTGCGGGTCTGTTTTCGGTGCCTAAAGAGCGGACACATGGCGCGAGAATGTCCCGAGAAATCAGGCTGCACTATTTGTAAGCACGCGCATCACGAAAAATTACACATGAGTGAGCGAGAAAGTGTCAGAAACCGAGACGAAGCGAATAATGGATCGCGAACTGACCGCGCAGACGCGCCTGCTCGTGGACAAGACGGACGGGACAATCGATTATGACTAACGCCGAGGAGAGGACTACTAAAAATAGTGCCGGTAAAAATAAGAGGAACGGAAGGCGCGACTGTAAACACCTACGCTCTTTTAGATAGCGGGTCAACAATTACCGTAATTGATAAGAATTTAGCTAAGCAAATCGGATTACAAGGAAAAAACATAAACGTGTCGGTGAAGGGGCTCTGGAGCGGATCGACGCAGACAAAGTGCCAAAGGGTAATGTTCGTCGCGGAAGGAACGCGGGGCGCCCAAATAATCGAACACGCGTTAACAGTTGTAAATTTAGAATTGCCCTTGCAAAGAATCCCGTCGAAAATCATACGGCGCGTGCAAGAACAGGAAGGTCTTGATCTAGAGACTCATCGGAATGCTCAACCAAAAATTCTGCTAGGGCAAGACAACTGGCGGCTAATAGAAAGCAGCGAATCACGACGCGTCAACGGCACGGGCCTCGTACTATCAAACTCGCCGTTGGGATGGGCAATACACGGGTATTTAGAAGACGATCAAAGAAAAACGCGTAGCTTTTTTGTCCATGCAGTCCACTGCACTGACGGGGGCCCCGATAGTGATCCTCGGCTGGTCCTAGTAGAATTGGATACATTGGTGCGAGGTTATTTCGACTTAGATAATTTAGGAGTAGCGGCGCCAAAGGGAAGTGAACGGGGGGAGGACCGCGCAATGAAAATTCTAAAGGAAACGACGAGAAGGGTGGGAAAAGTATGGGAAACGGGCCTTTTATGGAAAAGCGACAGATTGCCAAATTTGAATACTCGGGCAACAGCGATGAAAAGACTGCGCGCAACAGAGAAAAAATTAGATAGAGATCCGTTATTCGCGTCGTTATATTACAAGGAAATGAATAGGTTAATAGAGAACGGATATGCCACAAAAACAAAGGTAAATGCCAAAAACCCCCGAGAACGCTACGTGTCTCATTTCGGCGTGCAGAACGTGAATAAACCCGGAAAGGTTCGCTTGGTTTTTGACACGGCAGAAAAAACCGATGGAATAAGCATGAATAATTTGCTTGACACGGGGCCGGACTTACTCGAGTCTCTTCTCGGCGTACTACTGCGATTTCGGCAACATCCCTTTGCGGTAAAAGCGGACATACAGGATATGTACTTGAGAGTGAAGGTCATCGAGAAAGATCGCGCGTCGCAATTATTCTTGTACCGCGAAGATGATAGGCAGCGAGAGCCCGACGTTTATGCCATGACGTGCCTGATTTTCGGATCAAAGTCATCGCCATGCAGCGCGTTATACGTGAAAAATTGCAATGCCGAGAGATACGCAGAAACGACACCTGTAGCTGCGCGAAGCATCATTAAGAATAGCTATATGGACGACTATTTAGTTAGTGGGGGGAGCATTGAGGAAATGCAAAAGCTGGTTAGAGACGTCAAGCAAATCAACAGCGAAGCCAATTTCGTCTTGCACAGATGGGCCTCAAACGACGAACGCATTGTCAAATTCGTGAACAAAGACGAAAAACTAGGCCGCGAGACGAAAGCGAGCTTATGTAACGTAGAAGAACGTGTGCTCGGGTTATACTGGGATTGCGAAAATGATAAATTAAGCTTCAATATAGGGATAAATAAGATCGATGATAACGTGTTGCTAGGAAACTTGAAACCAACAAAACGCGAATTTTGCAGCATAATAATGTCGGTGTACGATCCGCTTGGTCTCTTATCTCCATTTCTTCTCTGCGCAAAGGCGATTATGCAAGATGTCTGGCGTAGCGGGGTAGGATGGGACGCGAGAATACGCGAAGAAGAGTTTATTGCGTGGAAGCAGTGGTTGACAAATCTTGTAGCGATCAAAGACTGTAGCATACCGCGATGCTTCATATCTATCGGGACCGATTATTTCCGCACGCAGTTACACGTATTCTGCGACGCGAGCTTACAGGCGTACGCCGCTGCCGCGTACCTCCGAACCGAGTCTCACGACGGTAAAGTCGATGTATCGCTCGTGATGGCGAAAACAAGAGTCGCACCAGTCAAACCGACAACAATTCCGCGTTTAGAGTTGCAAGCGGCAGTTCTCGGAGCGCGGATAGCCTCGACTGTCTCTGAAGAACTAGACATCAAAATATCGGAGAAGATCTTTTGGTCGGACTCAACGACAGTTTTGCAGTGGATTCGCGCGGGCCCACGGCTGAAGCAAACATTCGTGCGAAATCGTTTAGGAGAAATAGGGGACAAGACGCAGATTTCAGAGTGGCGCTGGGTACCGACGCGAGCTAACCCAGCAGACGACGCGACCCGTCCATCAAAAGAGCCCATGCGACCGACTGATCGGTGGTTCGTCGGGCCCGAGTTTCTACACGGAGCGTCGCAAACGTGGCCAAAGGAAAAATCGTTGCTAGGTACTGAGATACTAAAAATAAACGCATTAGAGTCACGACAGGAGTTCGTCGGGATGATGACCACAAATATCGCGAGCGCACCGATAACGGCACAACTCTTCGGCTGGCACGGATTGTTAATTGTAGGGTCGCGCATCCAGAAGTACGCTCATCGTTGGATCGACCGCGCGTTGGGTAAGAGAGAGCAAATGTCGCTCAGCGGCCCCAGAGAGACGATGAGCTTACAGGAAGTTAGATATAAAGCCGCGCATTTCTGGTATCGAGAGATACAGTCGGATTGCTTTCCCGAAGAAATTGACGCGTTGCAACGCGGCACAGCGGTGCGCAAAGGGCGAAGATTAGTTAGCCTAAAACCGTTTTTCGACAAACTCAAAATCTTGCGAGCTGAAGGCCGCGTGAAAACAATAGGGGAGCAGTCCATCGCCTATAACCCCATCATTCTCGACGCGCGTCATTTCGCCACGAAATGCCTAATAGGGGCGTATCATAAACGATTCCTGCACGCGAATAACGAGTCCGTCGTAAACGAGCTGAGACAAGAGTTTTATATTATTGGACTCAGGAGAAGGTTGCGTTCCCTAGCTAAAAGCTGCATAATCTGTCGTATGCGTCGCACGAAGCCCAACAGCCCTCCCATGGCCGACTTACCTCGGTGTCGCGTGGCCCACAATCAACGATCGTTTTCTCATTGCGGGGTGGACTATTTCGGCCCAATGCTTGTTAAAATAGGGAGACGTCGAGAAAAACGGTGGGGAGTTTTATTTACCTGTATGACTACTAGGGCGATTCACCTCGAACTAGCGAATAGTTTGAGTGCAAGCTCAGCTATAATGGCTATACAACGTTTTGCTTGTCGGAGGGGATTTCCGCGCGCGATGTACAGCGACAACGGCACTAACTTCGCCAAGGCTAGCAAAGAATTACGGGACGCGGTGTTAGGCCTAGACAATGACAAACTCAGACAGTACAGCGATACTAAGGGCTTCGAGTGGCACTTTAACCCTCCCGAGGCGCCACACATGGGGGGAGCCTGGGAGCGACAAGTTCGTTCCGTAAAGATAGCGCTGAATCACGCGCTCAAAGATCAGGCCCCGTTCGAAGAAATTTTGATAACGCTTCTCGCCGAAATCGAACACATGGTCAACTCGCGTCCGCTCACTCATGTTTCCGTGGACCCACGCGATGAAGAAGCGCTAACGCCCAATCACTTTCTGATAGGCACGTCGTCCGGGCACTTGCGGCTAGAAAGATACGAAAGCAAAATTTTAAACCCGCGTAAAACATTCGAGATAGCGCAACAACTCGCTCAAGCCTTTTGGAAGAAGTGGCTACGAGAATATCTCCCTACGCTTCTACCGCGAAAGAAGTGGCACTCTCCCGAGCCGCAGTTAAAAGTTGGAGACATCGTTCTCATATTAGATTATCAGGCCTCGCGCAACTCGTGGAGAAAAGGCAAAATCATCGAAATTTATCCGAACGCATCCGACGGAATTGTTCGAGTTGCTAAAGTCCGAGCGGGGAAAAGCGAATTAACAAGACCCGTCCATAAACTCGTCAAAATTTGCGACTCTCTATAGGTCAAAATGGCTTCATTTTCACGGGGGGAGGATGTTACGGATCGAAAAAAAAGGCCGTGATTTGTAACGCAACGCGCCGGAGAAAACCCGAAATTTCCTCTTCGGTCAGAGGCCGTAATCAGTGGGATATATGCGAGGCGCTGGCGACTCGATGCGTCGAGGTATGTACAGCGTGCGTTGCGAAAAAAGGAGTCAAGTCTTTGCGTGCGATGGTAGGAAAGTGTGTCGTCGCGACCATCCGCCTCCGCCGTGGGTACATGTGTCGGAAATTAACTGAAACGGCCACCCTCCATGGCTTCGCTTGTTTGACGAGCATGGCTGCTATTGGGCAGATCCATGGCCGTACGCTACAGCTCGGGAAGGAGATACGGGCAGTGCCCTTTCCCGAGGCTGCCATGACCTGCTGCAAATAATTTTCTTTGATCTTACGGCCCGGCAATAACGCAAGGGTTATTTCCGGGGCCGCCCGGCGAACCACGAGCGAAGCGGAGGGAAGTGCGACACTGGCCCCCTTCGGACCTCATTTAGCTACGCCAATGCGTAAAAAAAGTCTCTCTGAAAAAAACTAATCATAGCCGTATATAAAAAGTTTGTTAAAATTCTATAATTCCTTCATTTTTTGAATTTAGATATCCGAGTTGTTCGGCTTGACGATTGCGACTGATTCTTTAAATCTACACTGTTAGTCCAAAGTATTTATTACAATGTACGATTTGTTATATAAGAAGAAACTAAGTTTGTTTTTTTTCCAAGCTAATGTTCAATCTTAACGCGCAACAATGTATGAAAAAATTTATTTACAAAAATTCTTAGCTATTATCATTATTTACTGGAAATTTGTAGCATAAAAAAGAACTCTATGCTTCATAATAATTTACGATTAATAGTAAATATTTTTAAATTGAAAGAATCATTCATTGTATGGATAAAGGATTGACAAATACTCTTTTCCTCTATCAAACAGTCTCTCTGAAATAACTTTTTTATCTTGTCATAATATGTACCGGTAACAATTCTCGTTACAGTCTAATTGGACTATTGTCTAGAAAAAATTTTAAAAGTTTAGAAATCTTTATTCTTAAGTAATAGTTCCGCTGTGTGAACTGCGGAAAATAACAAGGAGAGGAAAAGCCGAGTGAATGAAGCGGGAGGTGAAAAAAAAAAGCGACGACACTCTATCCTGACCTCTCGAGCAGTGCAGTCTTGTTCACGCGTGCGATTAATTCAAAAACCTTATAGCTGATCTTGTGAAATAAAATTAACAAAAAAAACAATAAAATAGTTGCTTATTCTTGCTCTCCTGTCCCTAACAATAGTCTCCTTTTAGTTCGATACACTTGGCCCAGCGATGCTCCAACTTCTTTAACCCGTCTGAAAAATACGTTTCCTCGAGGTCTGTAAAGTAGGCTTCCATGGCAGCGAATACCTCTTCATTTGACTCAAATTTCTGCTCGGCGAGTGACTTTTTCAAGTTTGGAAACAAAAATAAGTCGCACGGAGATAAATCTGGAGAATACGGTGGATGGGGCAGCAGTTCGTAGCCTAATTCGACCAATTTGGCCATGGCGACGGCGGAGGTGTGAGCCAGTGCGTTGTCATGGTGGAAGAGCACTTTTTTCTTCGCCAAATGGGGCCCTTTTTTCTGCAATTCGACGTCGAATCAGCCCAATAATTCGGCATAGTACAACCCTGTGACCGTTTTGGCTCTCTCTAGGTAGTCGATGTAGATCACACCTTGTGAATCCCAGAGCACTTTCGCCGGGTAAAGTCCACTGTTTCGACTGTTCCTTGGTCTCTGGCGTATATCAGTGTATCCATGTTTCGTCGACTGTCACGAAACGACGCAGAAACTCCTTCGGATTGCGCTTAAACAGCGTCAGACATTGCTCTGAAGTTGTCTCACGGTTGCGTTTGATGTCCGGAGTGAGCAAACACGGCAGCCATCGTGCAGACAGCTTTCTCATGCCCACAATTTCATGCAGGACATGACCCACGCGGTCTTTTGAGATGCCTACGATCTTAGCTATCTCGGGCACCTTCAATCGTCGATCTGCCAATACGAGATCGTGAATTTTTGTCACGTTATCCTCCGTGGTAGCCGTTTTCGGAGCACCTGGACGTGGCTCTTCAAAAATCGACTTGCGACTACGTTGAAACTCGTTAAACCAATTTTTGACGGTCGCCATCGAAGGAGAAGAGTCATCGTACACAGCATCCAAGCGCTTTTTGATTTCGCTGTGCGATTTCCCTTCCAAAAACAAGAATCGAATCACCGACCGATACTGCTCTTTTTCCATTTTTCAAAAATCAACGGACACACTTGCTTTCACACGCTCTCAAAAATAAACTACAACTCCGATCCGGCTGAAATCTTGACAGTAACCATCGAGAAGGTTGCACTACGTGATAGGATATTTCTTTTGCGAGAGTGGCGCTATCGGGCGGTGAGGCTAAGTACTTATCGGACCACCCTCGTAGAAGCACGAGTAAGAATTCGTTTCATTGATAACAATTTAGTTATTACTGTTATCGATAAGTAAACAATTAATAATTTATTCAAACATATAAGAGTATATGAATCGAAAAGTTTAATTCTGTATATAATTACAACATTTTGATAATTTATTAATTTTAATTAACCACTTTTATATTTACATTATAAGATTTTGCAAAAATACAAAAATTAATTATTATTCAAATATTATTAACTAATTTAAGTAGTTCTTTATTGGAATTATATCTACAAGCGATAAACTATTTTTATATGCGAAAATTTCATATTATTTTATTGTAATTTTTGCACTATTGTATTAACTAACTTCATTAGTTAATAACTTTTAACTTCGATTTTTACGCATTCCCACTTTATCGCCAACTTAGAACATTGACTTCTCACTCATTCTTCTTCTTACTCATTCTTGAGAAAATTGCGTAATACTTTAGCTTGATTCACCGCTGTAACTTGAATAGGTTTCATACCAATCGTTTTGTGTTTACGATTGTTGTAAACAGCAGTGAGCTTTGGTAGTATATCTACCCATTTGTAATTGCCGTGTAGACTAAATTTTGTCCACGTAGCATTTTTCAACATGCCATTGAATTGATCACATATTGTAGCTTTAAGTAAACTATAAATGGAGTAATGTTGTATTTTTTCATGATAGCTTCAAAAGTTGCATTGTAAAATTCCTTACCTCTGTCCGTGTGAAGATTATTCCGGGTGAAAGGTACACGACCTTTCACCAAAACAGATTTCAGTGCCGTTGCCACATCACTACCGGTTTGCTTTTTCATTGTCACAGTCCATGCATACTTTGAAAAATTATCAATTATCGTGAGAAGCCAATTATAACCGCGATTTTCTCTAGAATAAGTTTGCATATCGACGAGATCGACTTGCCAGGTCTCATCTATTCCTCGAATACCGTACTTGCGTCGTGGATAATTACGTCTGGCTGGTTTGTAAAGCTATTCCATCACTTTTTGATGCTCCATAGTACGACACGTCTACTTCTGTATTTCAAATATCTATTTTTATCGACGATTTACTTATTTCAACTAAGTCACTGATTGTGAGATTACTTTTCAAGTATGCTACGATGGTGTCTGTAACAGTTTTGATTTCAGACTGAACGATGCATTGAACAGTTTACAAATTAACAGCATCGTTAGAATTTAGTGGTGGAGCAACATTCTCTAATCTTTTATTTTGCAGATCGAAATGACCTGACGTGAGCTTGAATCCGAGACTTGATGTACCACAACGGTCGTTAGCTCGATGTCTAAATTTACGTTCGAATACGTCAACGCTTATTTTGATAATGAATGGATGGGAGTAATGTTCTCAATATATATACCCACCCTCGCGTAGTTCCTGAATTATCGAATGGATTTCGTTGATATGACTATTGTTACCTGCTGATTATTCAGCTACAAGTAATTGAAGACAATCAACAAACTCATTTGGACCATTCCAACACACATAATCTATATTAATGTTGTTATTGTACCGTGTAATCTTATAACTAGGTAAAGATGTACCAATTCTCAACTACTTCTCTTCTATGTTACGTTTTTTAGTCTAATTAAATAATGGACCAATGATGTTATTAAATTTGTGACTATTACGTGCTCGTTTAGGCGCATTTGAATTAATGCTTTTTCTATGCACGCTAGTGTTTTTCAAAATTTCTCGATATCTCTTGAGATTGATTGGCATTATTAGACTTCTGTCAAGCTGCTTTGTCACAAGTAACTTCATTAAACCCTTTGTTTTCGGATACTTAAAGTCATAAACGCTCACGGTATTCTCATCAAATGTCACTGTGAAATTACCAAGCACATAAGCTCCATTTTTTTCTTTGCGCATACCATAAATCAAATAACAAAAACTAGAGTCTTTTTAGTTCAAAGCATTTATGTACTTATCGAAGGCATCCTCACTTAGTTCAGATAAACTGTGATAAATTTGTATATTATTGTACGTAACGGTAGCATAAGTATCTTCACTGTTATACGGTAGGTTTTCATACTTATCACAACAACATCAAAATAATTATTTTCATGTTTTGGTATTTTCTTCAGAATCTCTATCTTTTCAACTAAAAAAAACTTCAGGAGGAAGAGAAGGAGGATTTTTATTCACAAAATTCTTGATTAGTTCTACTAAATTTTTGATTGGATCCACTTCGCTCGCTATAGTATTTAATGGATCAATTATTGGCCTGAACGTTTTATTTAAGACTTCGATTTATTTAAAATCTCGAGCATGCCTCAGTAGATTATGCTTCTTTTTAATTGCATCTTGCGCTTTCACAAGTTGAGAAAGCACATGTTTTTCTTTTTGATGACCCTCCATGTTGACGCTTCAACGATTACTATTAGACTGCGTATTATGTTACTGTTATGATATATTTATAACGAAGCAATCAAAGTCCTTTAAATATTGTCCATTATTCATTGCTCTTTCCTTATTAATTACTAAAAACCCATATTTATCA